ATTTCCACACGCAGCGTTCGGTCTCACAGCCGGACGCAGCGGTCTGTGGCCTGGGCAGTGCCTGGTCACACAGCCCAACGCAGAACAGTAAAGTTCTGCGTGGCCTGGGGCGGGTCTGAGCCCCGTACAGCCCTTGCTGCACACGACTTACTGCACTTTGAAGTTTGAATGCTTTTGAATCTATGGTGTTAATTCTACTCTACTTGTAGTATGCTTTTCATTATCTCATCTTATGATTTGATTGCCATGTATTTAGCCATCTGCCAGATTCTGGATCTTCAACCCTTCACCACATCTGTGCACCATACAAATCACAGATCTGGAGTTCTGTAGGCTCCCGCGGCTCAGAGGGAAAAACCAACCGTTCTCAGCAAACATTGACCCCATCCTTCTTAGTGAATGGTACACATGTAGCTGTTCATATGGATAGATAATGCTGCGGGTTAACTGGAAAATTTAATTGAATTGTCAAAAAAAGATAGCCAATCATGCTGCCAATGACCATTCATCACAAGATTCGTGGCCTTAAACCACCACTACCTCCGAACCTGTTTTTGCCGACCCTGATTTTCACTGCGCACCGAGTTTTGCCGAGCCTGGGGTCCATTGTCTTTCTTTTCTGGTACTCTTCTGAAAAAGCGAGCCTCTGCAGACCCCGAAAAGTTCGGAAAAAGTGGGAAAACAGCCAATTTTCCCATTTTTCCCAAGAGTGACAGAGGTAGTGGTGGTTTAAGATAGACCCAGTAAGAGTAGAGATCTGGATTTGACTGACCACTCACATCTCAAAGGCCTTGTTCCGGTCAGCCACTAGGTCGAGAGAAGACGTGGCCATCATCATGTCCTCATCCGTATCCCCCCTCTGAGTGCTGTCATGGACCTGGCGGCCAGCATTCATGGCTTCCTCATGTTCATCACGTGCTTCTCCAGGAGATGATGACTTTTCTTGCTCCACCACCTGAGCTTCTGCAGCAGGGTCCCCCTCTCCCGTACACGTTGCATTTGCTGATGCAGCTGGAACCGATCCAGAAAAAGCAGACGAGATTGCATCAATTCCAGAACCTGTTTGGCAGAAAGAATCAACTTCCCCTCTTCCTTGGGACCCATTCTTCCGAACCATAGGGACAAGGATGTTGATTTCATTATCACGCTGCTTCACCTGATTGTCACCAAACAAGAAGAGATAAATGAATAAACAACGCTGTCCTTTTCATTCTATCCAAAATTTTCAGTCCTCCTCATTCTTGACAAAAGACATGGCATTAAATGGTAAACTCATACATGCTTCCGGACTCATCGAGCTATGTAAGCGCGTGTTCTATCAGTCACTGTTGCAGTGTTCTTTCCATTTAATATATGCTTTTGCAGCCATCTTATTGCATCTGTTCTTTCCTGTCGCGGAGACGACGGTTCTTAAACGACCAGTACCTTGGCCAGGTACCCTCTGTTATGATCCTGGCCAAAGTACACATTCAGAAAGTACAATGCCGTCCAATTGCAAAAGCAAATGAATGAACTTGAGAGGAGAAAGAGGGAAAGAAGAAGAAGATGATGTACACCAGCATAGACCAATGATAATGCTCTTCTTCTTCGCCAACCACTCTCCTCCTCCTTATCTCCTCCCCTCTTATTCAATCAAGAAATAATAATAATAATGTTGAATGGCTAAACCAGAATCAATGTCTGAATCCCTCTTCTACTGCAGGTATCACATGAGGTCCACGATAGCCATGGCACCCTCTTCCTTCCTCGTCTTGAAGGCCTAGGCTATGGCGGAATGCTAGGGCCTTGCCGTCATGTGCAGAAGACAACTGACGCAGCTATGGCTGCTCTAGCTCAGGCCGCCATGCCTGACTCTGCCTCGAAGCTTCTTGGTGTAGCTCTACCCCTGCTAGGGCCTATTTGCTGCAGCGCCCACCAAGGTGATGAAGATGGCAACCACCATAGCCAAGTAAGTACCTCTGGCGCTCCCCCTTCCTAGTCCTGGTCTTCTTCCTCCTTCTGTCCTTGCTCCTTCCCCATCAGTGCTGCTCCAAGCTAGTGCTGCTCCAGCCAGCGCTCCAACCAGTGTGTCGCCAAACTTGCACACCAACAATGAGGAGGAGCACCTTGCTCCTCCTGAAGATATAGCGGCCTGCTTGCCTCTTGGCGAGTGACTTCCTAGGCCGCACAGCCTCCAAGCAACCGGTACCTCCTCCCTCTCGGAGGGAAACATCATTGCAGACTCTGATATTGCCCGTACAGGCCCTAGACTCAGACTGGTTGGACTGGTACCGGCCTAGACCTAGCCTACAACAACTGGGCCTTTAAAAATGCTAACTTTTGTCTTCTTCTGCTCGGCCTCGAGTACCCGGCACGAAATGGGACTTGGGATTAGGACCTGAGATTCGGGACAAGGACCTGGGACTCGGGACTAGGACCTGGTACTCTGGGACCGGGACTGGGACACATGTGCAGCGTTAGATCCTTTCAATCGTTATTCTACCACCGAAATGAACTCTTGAGTCTTAACACAAGAGCCCACTCACAGCCTTTCAATTGGTACCTCAAAAACTCTGGTGGTGGCAGGCTAACATTTTTCAAATGTTTTTTTGAACCCCTTGTTCATAAAAAAACTGCTAAGACCTGTCTGATGGCTATGACTCGCTCACAAAACAAAATAGCCTAGGTCAGGCAGAAATGGCAAATAGCATTCCCAATAGGACCATTTTACGCTGATGGCTAAGACCTGCCTGATGGCAAACACCCGTGGCTACGAACTGGGTTCTTCCCCTTGGAGGCTGCCCATAATTTTTGACCGTTCGAAGCTCTGTGATGTTCGTTGTGATGGCTTCAAAACTCAACTGGCACTGTACTCGACATCGATATACATACCATCCTTCATCTGACTGCACACTTTGCCATGCATGATGACGTCAACTACGTGATGAAAACAGGTCTTCCGCTGGTTACGCCGCATGCTACCCTAGATGTTCCTCCAACTGCATATGCCTCCTTCCCTCTTGGTGCCTGTGTCGACATGCTATGCCTCACCCGCCTGTTACTCACACCATCAGACAGTACATCCGATGCTCATAGACTTGCTCCGATCTGTCATGCCCGAGGAGCATCTCCAACCGTCTGCCATTCGATGCCACTTCTGAGTAGACTTCTACCCCCACATTTTTTGTGCTTCCACCCTCTTTTTCCCTGCCTGCCACCCTCTACAAGCTCTCTTTGTTTTGCCTCCTCCTCCTCCCTATATGCCTTTGGTTGATTGACTGTTTATCTGCATTCTTCCTTCTAACTATGGAATGCCCTACCCGATAATTGGGCTTTTTCGCATGCCTACCCTTCCCTTCCTTATCACTTCCTACTCCATGCCTATCCCAAACTCCCAAATGATCCTGCCTGTCTGGCTTTTCACCTCTTGCTACTCCATACCTATCCCAAACTCCCAAACGATCCAATTGTCCCTCTGTCAACTACTCGAGACTATACTGTTACTAGTCTGTCAGTACAGAACTATTGGCTGACCAGGAGGCATTTAAGGAGATCCCTCATAACTCAGGAATTATTTAACGTCGCAATCAAGACGACGATCACAACCAGACTTCTCTCAAGACTTAGACGGACTGGGCGCGCAATCTGCAGCTTGGAGTTCAGGTATGGTGTACCACCCAGAGCAGGCTCCCGGTCTGTATCGGTCCTTGGGAGCTTTTCCAATGTAGTTGTAGGAGGCGACTATACGACCGTAGCAGCCCACAGCGAAGGGCAAGGAAGAGGAGGCCAAGGTGGAAGAGGAGGAGGCCGGGCAAGGGCTACTTGGAGGTTTGGAGGCCGAGGGAGCTTCCAAGCGGGTGGTAGGGGATACGGTACCCCACAAGGTAGTCAAACATCCCCCGCTTCACAAGGAAATGGACGGGGCAACTATTCCCTCGCCAACGAGAGTGATCAGGGGCCTAGAGGGCAGCGTAGGTACCCTCGCAATCCAGGAATCGAAGAACTCGAGCCCTGGAATGCTTTGAATATATCAGAGGACCGCTGGCGTCAGAGGCAGAAAAGGAGACAGTGCTTTAAAGTGTGGAGACCCCAATCACATCGTTCCCTTTTGCTCGTTATACGGACAACCGTCAAATGGGAACGGCCAGTAGGAGTCATGGCTGCTCCTACAGGGACCTCAGACTTTGATAGACAGGAAGATGCACACGCTGAAGTAGGAACCTACTGTCTGAGGACCCCAATGGCAAAGGCTGATGTAGGCCCCCACCCAGTCGACTGTCCAGACACTGCTTGTGTCAGGGTCTCTCTAGGTGGTTCCCTCATAGGCATCATTGATGAGCTGATCACTCGTCGTCAGGCCTGGGCCGAGATGAAGAAAAAGTCCAAAGGACAGGTAATATTAGAAGATGTAGAAGTCAATAGAGCCAGGATAGGTGCGTTAGTGGACTGTGGTTCGACGCATAACTATATTAGTAGGAAAGGATTAAAGAAACTGCATTTAGGAATGGAAGTGCAGAAGTTGGAAGAGCCGGTAGCAAGCAAACTGGCAGAAACCCAAGATATGAGAGTAGATGAATTCGTCGAGGGGGTGAAGGCATACTTCCCCGGTTGGAGGGAGAGAATAAGAACTGCGAGAAAGTGTTGCATTCTCTGACCCTTCTAGTGGAGGACAGTCTACTCTTTGACATGTTGCTAGGGGCAGATTGGGGAGAAGCCGCAAAGGCCGATGTGAAGATGGGTGAACATGAGTGTTGGCTGCCCAGTCCACAAGGTGGGAAGAAGAAGATCAAACCCTTCCATGAGTCCGGAGTCCAGTCCGCCCTTTCGCTGTGTTGCATGAGTGCCCCCGCGTTCGCTAGGCATGTGGTCAAGCAAGACCTTGTTGACCAAGTCTTTATTGCATATGTTAAGACCGGTTAATGAGAAGAAGGAGGAGGAGGAATCAGTACCACCCCAGGTCCAAAGTCTGTTAAGCAAGTTTGCGAACGTAGGAGAGGTCCCAACCGGTGTAGTGGAAAGAGAGATCAAGCATCGGATCGACATTGAGCCTGGCAGCAAGATTCCCAAGGGTCCGATCTACAGACTGTCTCCCAAGGAGTTAGAAGAGTCGAGGAAGCAGCTAGACAAACTAATTGAGAAGGGCTGGATTAAGCCAAGTTCCTCGCCCTACGAGGTACCGGTCCTATCCGTGCCTAAAAAGGAAGGCGAACTGCGTATGTGCATAGACTACAGGGGACTAAACGCTATAACTGTCAAGAATGTTGAGCCGCTGCCCAGAATAGACGATCTATTAGACAGTGCAGGGATGCAAGTACTTCTCAAAGATAGACTTGAAGTCGGGGTACCATCAGATCTAGGTACAGCCTGAGGATCAGCACAAGACGGCGTTTAGGACAGATACGACCACTACGAGTTCGTGGTCATCTCGTTTGGGCTGACCAATCCCCCTGCCACGTTCCAACGATGCATGAATGATATGTTTAGAGAATGGTTAGACAAGTTCGTCGCCGTTTACTTAGAAAACATCCTGATATTTAGTAAGACTCTTAAGGGGCACCAAGAGCATCTTCGGCTGATTTTGAACAAGCTTCGTGAGGCTAAGTTCAAACTGAATCCCAAGAAGTGTGATTGGGCAAAACATTAAGTGTTGTACTTGGGCCATGACGTAGATGGAGATGGGGTTAGACCGGAAGACGCGAAGATTACAGCGATTAGAGATCGTCCGACCCCGCGCATGTTGACTGAACTGCGGTCGTTCGTCGGTCTAGCCAATTACTATAGGAAGTTTGTATGCAACTTCACTACGATTGCTGCCCCATTGCACCGACTACTGCGAAAGGAAACTGTTTGGAAGTGGGACAAAGAATGCACGTGCACTTTCAAGAAGTTAAAAAAAGTGTTTAATAGAGTACCCGATCCTAAAAATAGTTGATCCGTCACTACCGTTTATTGTCACCACTAATGCTAGTCAATACGGCATTGGTGCAGTCCTACAGCAAGACGATGACAATGGATATAGGCCGGTTGAGATCATGTCGCGTAGGCTGCCATGTGAAAAGGTTGCTGCATCAACCTATGAGAGGGAACTGTTCGCCTTGAGAGAAGCCCTAGCCCACTGGCGACACTACTTACTAGGACGACACTTTAAGGCCTATTTAGACCATGAGACCTTGCGCT